AAGAGGGTTTTCATTTTCCTACATGCCTCCAATTAAAAAAAATCCCAATGAGGTCAGCTACTTGTGACCAATTCATTTACTGAAATGTACTTTGACACACACTATTTCCATAAAATCTTCTGCCACAAATCATGCTTCCAGAAGCCATACCTATCTAAAAAGAATTTATGCTACTATTAACATTTCTCTAAGAAGAGTTTTCTGTGTAATTATGTCTTCAAGTAAAGCAATCATTTAAAATATTAATCAATTCAAAATTTGGGGTCATAAAATTTGCTTTTTCTGTAGCAATTCATTAGAAAAGGCAAACAACTATTTGTTGTTTTTATTTTTACTTTGTTTTCCTCTATGGTCCAATGGATGGACTTTTGTTGTCTCTTGATTCTCCTGGAGCAACAGAAATTCTGAAATCCTCAAATATAAATAGAATTCAAGTGCACATACTAATAAGCAATTGCGTGCATTTTTTAAAGGAGCTACAAGTAATCTAATTCCATTTCTAACTGTCACTTTTAAAGAGGAAACATAAGCTCATATAGATCCCTTGAGGGCATCCACAGGGAATAGAGACGTTCCTAATCAGCCTAAGTAGTCCTTTGTGTCAGAACCACTTTTCTAAAGTTGGGCGCTGTCTTCCAGACTCACAATGTTTGGGAAAAATTTACTAATGTAGCATTTGTCTCATTGGAAAAAAATCCTTCCAAGCAGAAATTATGCTTTGAAAGACACGTATGGGAAAAATTGTCATTGCTTTTAATTTATTAGTTCTTATGTTGCTTTCAAAATCCAGTGGCTAATACCAAAACAAGACTGGGCAGGAACTGGGTCCACATTTCAGAAAGAAAAATCCACTTGAGAAGATCCATGGAACCTAACTGCACGTTTGTGGTAATGGATGATCTTCTGTTGTCCATTCTCATTTACAAATATCTTTACTTGATGACCTAAAAGGGTGTTGCTGTAATTACTGGGTCTCCAAGGAATGTCTTAGGCACACAGGTTCAAAGAGGTTCTGCCCTATGAGTTGTTTGTGGCCAGCCTCCATTCTCATTGGTCACGTCGTACCTTCTTATTTGTGGTCTCTGAACTGTGTTGGTGGCTCATTACACTGTCATACTTGTTTCTTACCTTTACCCACTCACATGACAAACTAGGGCCTTGTAACTCATCTTAAGTGACAACTCTTGTTTGACACTGTGGGGTTTTGTGCATTTGTTTTCCTATAGTCTCTTTAATAAAGAGGAAATCTCATTTAACAGTGCAGCACAAAACCATTAGCAGAAAAGATGAGCTGCTGAAAGAATTTTTTCATTCTTCATTAGTTTTTTTTCTCCTTTAAATCTTTCTTTTTTTCTCATCAAATGTTATTTGAAGCAGTTAGAGGACGACATCCGTGACATTATTTTTATTTATCTAGCATTATTTATCCAACAAGTCTCTTCAGCAAAAAGCCATTGGAAAAATGGAAGTGAAGGTACAAAGAATTTAATAGTGATGGGGGGTTCAAGTTAGTTTAAAAAATAAGGATTTGGGCTCAGGGACCCTAAGTGACTTAGAACATTGAGAAAGGGATGAGGATATTCTTTTTCTGAGAGCTCAGTGTTTTAAGCTTCCCAGCTTCAGCACAAAAGGCATTTCAGCACATATGTGATCCAGAAGGCCAATCATTTGAAATCCTATTTCCATTTTTTAAGCAATCCTTGGCAGTCTGCACATTTCAAAAATTGCAAGTGGCATATTTCACAGGGAATTATCATCAATGCCTTTTCAAGGTCAAACATGCCCATCCTTAGACTTTCAGCATTTAAACTCTATAGTAAATCATTGTTCATATTTAAGAAGACATTCAGCAGACACATTAACTAATTTTAATTGATTAAACTATGTTCATTAATGCCTTGTTGAATTTTCTCTACTTGACATTAAGTTGCATATTAAAAATAACTAGTGTGTGTTAAATTTAGATGCGGATATTCTGCATCTGTTATCCTCCCTGGAACCCCAAAATGCCTGTGAGAGCAGAATACTGATATGGCCTTTCCCCAAATACTAAAAATATATGTCTGACTATGAAAGCTGAAGCAATCCCAAAAACATACTTTGAAGGAAGAATAAATGATGATGATGATGATGATGATTGTTAAATTTTCAGGACCTCAGGATTTTGGTTCCCATATGAACAAAACAAAATTGAACTTGGACATTACAGTGGATACCAGACTGGTTCACTTGATGAGACACCCATACTCAGCCTTGTCACAGATGATGCGAGAGGCCTTTAATTGCCCTCTCCTATCCAATTAGCACTTGCTTAGCTTCTTTCACTTTCTCTCTCCAACCTCCAACCCCGAATAATAACCAGAGCTGTCTGTGTCCTCACCCTGTGTGTGAGGACTGCCTTTGGGAGAGAAAGAAGTCTGAAAAATATCAACCATATAGAAGACCCTACTAAGATGCTCTCCCTGTCAAAGACATTTACTCTTTAAATTAGAATTCCAGAAAAATATTTTGGAGAGGGAGAGTAGTAAAGAATGAAAGTGTTACAGATAATGACGCACATATTACATATTTCATGGGTGAAAAACATAAAAAATATAAAATATAGTAAAAAATATAAACAGGGTAAAAACTACCAGAATAATAATGATAATAAGAGGAAGATGGTATTGGGATAGGAATGCCCTCACTCAGGTTTGGAGTTCATTCCACAGCTGAATACCTCCTGAGTGTACACCTTAGCATCTGGGCTCTACCTTTGATTATCCTCCATATGAGGCCAATGGGTGGATTGACAGGAGAAATTCCCCTTTGATCTGCCTCATTAGTTCAGGCATAGAATAAGCTTCCATGTTGGTTTTTCTTCCCAATGACTGGTTTTCCAGCTAGAACTTGTCCTTAACCCAAGCTCCAGCTTTTCATTTCACTCTGGAGCTTTAACCACACTTAAGATTTTGGAGAAACAGACAAAAGACTACTAAGAAATTCTGCCCTTCTGTTTCTTTTTCTGTTAGTAATTTTCAGATGCTCTGCTTTTTCCGTAAATTTTACCTCCATAGTTTGTTTCCTGATTGAGATTTATCCTACTGGCCTTATCCAAGTTGAGAATTTTTCATGCTGGGTTCTAGTCCTTCAATCACTCATCAGTCATACACTGTGGTGTCCTTTTGTGTGATCACTGAACAGTCTGTGCTCCATTCAAGATGCCCTAAGTTCCTCCCTTCCTGTCTACTCCGGGATATTTTCACAGTAACTTCCTTTCCTTTGCTAAGGCATTAACATTCTTCATTCTGCAATAATCATTCATATCAGCATTTTAAATATGCTAATTTATCCCTTCTTAAAACAATAAAATTAAAAAACCCGAATCAACATTGATCACACTCACCCTTCAACTACTCTCTATATTTTTATTTCTTTGTAATTTCAAAAGTTCTCAAAATATCTCCATATTTTGCTTCAATTAATTTCTTCCATTCTTTCATAAATATATAATCCCATTAGATTTTGTTCCCATATCAAGAACATTATATTGGCCATATCAAGAGCTTCATTGTGGTAGAAGGCAATGGTCAAACTCAACCTTGACTTATATGCATACAGAAAATAATAATCAATTGTCATTCTAATGTCAAGATTGAGAAATTTCAGATATTAGAGCTAATGTTACGTTAGAAATCACGTGGACTATTATTTTGTTTTGAGTTTTAGAAAGCTCAGACTCTAAAACTATAGTAAAATTATTACATACACACAGAAGTCCATTAGAAATACTTCACAGAAAAAAAATCCTAAGAAAGAGTACTTAGTAAACCTCAGAAAGGAACCTGTGATTCTGATTAAAATTATATAGTAATAAAAATAGAATAATCCTCAACAAAAATTTAATTGATATTAAGAATAAATATATTCAATTGCAAAAATGTTTATCGACTATGCGATTTTACCAACATTTTTCTCTTAGTAACAGAAGACATTACCATTTTAGTAGCTCAGAGAAAAGACTGGACACATTCATAAACAATCTTCTCCAATATTTCTTTCTATTTTTTGTTTCCAATTCTCTCTCTCCCTTATTAAATGAATGTTACAATATTATATAATTTCTTTATGAGCACAAATATGTCATTCTTGAAGAATATATTTCTTTTCCTTAATATCATACTGTTGATAGAGAGTAAATAAAAGTATTAATCCACTGATGGGCCACCAAAATACCCTAGTTATTATTATTCAATCCATTAAAGAAAGTGGACTATCAAACAGAACACATGTTTACCGGTATCTCTTGCAAACACTAATATTCTTTCCACAAACCCAAATATGTATAATTTCTTTTGGTGTAATGCCCTAAAAACTTAACTTCCATTTGGAAGGCTGTGATATTTTGCCCATTCATTTGTAGCTGGTATACTGTGCATAATGAAAGTAACAAACCTGAGGTACTGGATACCAAACAAGAGATGTAATGTTCTTTGTGTAATTCCGCACAGAGAACACACACCTAGATATCCACTTGTCTTCAGAGGCTCACATAAGTTTAATAATTTATCAATCTTGGGCAGAATCTAGAAAGAAGATGAGCTATATTTTAAGGCCAAAAACTATCAACAAAGGCTATTAAAGGCAGGGATTTTCATCAAAATTTTCCTATCAAAATATGGGTACTTTTGTGCTTTTATCAAGAGGTGATAAAGATGAGATTTTATGTAGAAGAAATTGAATTATTTTCCATCCGTCTGTGCCTACGTATGCACAGTGCACAAGTAAACAAGTTTTGTAAATAACTTTTTGTTAGGGTGAGATCCTGTTTAGCAGGATGGATGGTGTTTTTGTATAGTCAGGTGACACATCCAGATTATTTCAGCAAATCTGACTGGTTTTGAATTGCCCCTTTCCAGACCAGCTGACAACATCACAGCCTCACTCATACATACACTGTGGGCATCACTCACGGATTTCCTTATGTGTATACAACCCAAAATACTTTTATTTATATTTACCGCTTTATTGCTTCTTCTTGTCTTCGACGTTTTTCATTCTTCTCCTTTAAGTAAGCCAAATTTGTCTCATTCCTCAAACGATCATTTTCTCGAGCAATGTCGGATGCATTCTGAATAACCAAGCCATCATATGCCTTCATCCCCATATCCTCAATATACTGGAGAAATGTGTCCAAAGGATCTTCTTCAGGATTGGAACTCATCATCTTGGAGGGTATCATGTAGAAAGAAGTATTTCCTATAGGGTGGGAAGACATTAGGCCTTTATCAAGGATACGGATAAAAGCAAGATGTTGTTTATTACCCCTAATATTTTGTAAGCCCAAATCACCCATGAGCGTGGCAGAATTCACGTGGAGAAAATATCTCATTAGAAATTACAAACAATTTAAATACTTGAAGTGAATATTAAATGGGTGTTAACTGGGGTGGCAAGCACTTCTTTCAAGCATCAGCATTAGTGGGACAAAGGCCAAAAGATAATGTGTAAATATTACATGTGAAGGTCAACATAAGATATAACAGATCAAAGCTTCATCCATTTATGATTGCCATAAAGAATATTTTGTTCAATTTCAAATAAAATGATATAATTAATTTTATGAATGTGAACCATTCATGCAAAATATAAACATAGTGAAAGAAAGGCATATATATAATATATTTGTCTAGTAAATTATCCCTTCTTAATCATTCATTATTTTCTATAAGGTCTTTGACTTCATACTATAACTCAACTATTGTAGAACACCAGGATCACGCAAGTCCCAACCAGTCTAGTAATTCAAGCAGTGCCAACTGTTAAAGCCATTGCTACATGAATGTTTAAATACATGAACCACAGAAACAGACACTAAGAAATACAAACCAAGTCAACACAACAAACCAGCTCAGGAGTTTAAACCAGTACACATTACTATTACATGTAAAATGATGGTAATAATAACTCAAATGTTTTGTTGATGTGACTATTAAGAGAGGTGAGTACCGTAAAGAGTTCAGAACAGCATTCAAAAATAGCAACTATGTAATAATGTTAACTAGTAGTACCTTAATAAAATGTGGAAGGAAGATTGGCACCAATAGTATTAACTTGTTATGGATAGCTGGATGGCTGGATGATGGATGTGTGGATGGATAAGCAAACAAACTATGAGAATCAGCACACCCTGAAGTAGAATTTTCAAATAAATTAAGCCAAGAGATAAATTGTGCTTTAATCAAATAAAAAATTCAAACAAAATTAAATCATTTACATAAAAATAAATATTTTACTCTTCTAGCTTAATAAGACTTACTGTGCTCTGTTGCATATTCAGTATGTATAGGACACTGGCATAATTGAACCACACTGAAAACTCAAAAGCAGAATCAATTAACAAGGAAAAACTGCTATTTAAAAGTTTATAATTACTTTATATGTTTTACTTTCTTATAGAGGCTTGGAAAATATTTTGAAAATATCAGCCCAACTGCTTAATGTAAAAGTCATTTCATTTTTTCAGTTACAAATCATTTTTATTCTGACTTTTTTACAAGTATAATAATGATTCATAACCTGGACTGTAGCTATGGAAATTTCATTTCTTATCTATATATGAGCATTTCAGCTGCCAGTCAATCCATATTTGAAGCCAATGCCGAATAAAAAGATTTCCTCCTCAATCTAAGATCTCACTGCAAATGGAGCCTAGATACAGTTGTTTGTTCACTCAGGATTTTTATTTTACTAAGTTTTATTATGCTTTGCTTTTCACAACAATGGATTAGCAAATGAAATAGTCCTTTAATTCCAAGTACATAAAGTAATTGAAATGTATTTTAATATCAGTCCACCAGATTAGTTGCCTAAGTGGTGGACCTACAGAGGAAGAGGAAATTGCAACTACAGATTATGAGAGTTTGGGTGGAAATGCAGGTAAATGAGTCTCAGAGAGTCCATGCCTTAATACCATAGTGACTTTTCCTCCACCAAGGACTTCGTCAATAGGTGTGCCTGGATAAAAAAAGATCAGCATAACTTTATGGCAATTAAGTCTAGGGAAGCTAAGCAAGCCAAGCCAGTATTACAAGGAATCCAGAGATAATGCCTCAGGCTGGAAGATGATCACTCCCACTCTGCCTTCTAGCAAAACTCTGTATTACCCAGTTATGCTAGGCATTATTACTGGAAGATTTTTTTTTAAATTTTTCCCTTAAGTTTTCCTCCAAGCCAAATGACACCAGTGATTTTTGCACATTTTATAGAGTCCAAATGCTAACAAAATTAAACGCTTATCCTTGAAAGTGAATTATCTTCCTAAGTGCACCTTCAGATTGGCTGGCATTTAAATTATTTTTGTTCTAAGAAAATACTAAATAATAGCATTGTGGAATATTTATATCATATCAAGTCAGAATTTTTAATGGAGATTAAAATGTTTCAGATGAAAATCAACCCTAACTTAATCTAGGTTAGCCATAATCTTGTAAAACTGCATGGTACTGAAAATTAGATGAATGCTTGTGCACATTTGCATGTCACCCAACTCTAGAGAAATATTTAAATCTATGATAATTCATTTATTCAAGTATTTATTGAGTGCTTGGTATGAAACAGGCACAAATCAAAGGAGAATTGTGTTCCTCTAGATGTCCACATTGTGTTAAAAGTGCTTGGTATGAAACAGGCACAAATCAAAGGAGAATTGTGTTCCTCTAGATGTCCACATTGTGTTAAAAGAGTACAATAAATAAATAATTACAACATGCATAACTAGTGCAAAGGTTCAGTGGACATCACCAGTTTATTATTCCTTCTTCATTTTCACATTATTGAGGATGAACAATGAACCCTTTTCCTTTTATGTTTTATATATTTATTTGGTAGGCAGAGTGACAGAGAGAATGATACTCCTTTTGCTGGTTCACTCTCCATATGGCCACAATAGCCAGGGATGGGTCAGGCAAAAGGCAAGAAACTCCATCCTGGTCTCCCAAATAGGTGGCAGGAACTCAGGTACTTCAACCATCATCTGATGCATTCCCAGTACATTAACAGGGATCTAGATCAGAAGCAGAGCAGACAGCACTTGAATTTGAACTTTCCACAACACCCATCTCAACAAGGAAGCCTTTTCAACCTTTATCTACAGTCTTGACAAGTGTATTTGTATCCTACCAGTGTTTGAGCATCTCACTTTCCTTTTCACTAGTCTAGTTTCAGTCTCCATATTTCTTAGAAATAGTAGTTGGAATAGACTTAGGTGGTAAGGATTCAATTAGAAAATGCAAATATTCAATAAATGTAACCCTAATTATTAATCACCAACATTACTATTAGATTTGTTTTATCATTCTGAACCATGGCCACGATTGTTTAGTAATGATACAATTTCTTGACAAATATAATTTTACATTGAAAGATAATTTTACTTCAGATTAATTAGAATGTTTAGTGAAATTAAACTTTTTAAATCACACATGTGCAAATGAAGGCCAGCATAGTACCTTTGCCCATCAATCAGATAATTGTGGATAGGCCACTTATTCATTGTTCACACCTAGGAATTAAGGGCACTGCGACATGTGGACCATGAAGGTCATCCCATGGCTCAAACTCTTGGAATTAACCCATCCTAACCAAAGAGTACTTTCCAGGTAACTGAACTACAAGGATTTAGATTCACACCCTCACTAAAGAGAGTTGAACCTTTCATAAATTACCTCAATGTGCCTCCTATTGTTTTGATACACTAATAATCCACAGATGAGTATGAACATAAATCTATTCATCTTTCAGAAATTTCTATTTATGGCCAAGATGTATGTTCCATAAGGTAATCCTATACCACCACTCAAATATATTTTGAATATTGGATATTAAATCAAGTTCATTTCTGGCCCTTATGTGATAATACTGTACACAAGTATTTTGCAAAGGTTATCCTGACTACCCAAGTCCTAAGTCAGCATTTCAGAAGACTCTATTAAGAAGCAAAGGGGTACTTCTTTCTCCAGATACCATTTTTATATACATTGCAATAAGTATGGCAGTCTACCTTATTAGATTCCTGTGTAGTGCTTGAGATATTTGGGACAAAGGAGTGAATGAGGTGTAATGGAACTTTGTTTTTCTATGGGAGTCCTTAAATTGAGCCAGCTTGTGTTTATAACCATTTTTGCTCAAAATAGATTAACATTTCAGCCCCCAACTACTCACCTTCCCAGAGCATTGGCTGAAAACTGACATTTGTTGTCCTCGTTCAAAAGGCAAATGTATCTTGGGAATGTCCAATATTGAGTCAAATGATGCAAGATGTATGTGTGTGTGTTTGTGTGTGTGTGTTGGAATTTGTCCACATTTTAAATTTGTGCCAGGGATTCTTTTGAAAAAACACATAAAATGTCCAATATCAGAATCTCTATACAACCCATACCTCCACTCCTTCATTCTGCATTCAGAAAACATTTCTTTTCTTAAATATTTAGATTACCCTCTATAGAATAAAGGACATTCCATTAAAGTTTCAGATATTGGCTTAAGTACAATTGGACCATAAATTGTTCAGTTTCATTTATTTTATTTTCACTTTATTACTTTTAACTGATTGACCACACCCTACATAAAGATTATGTTGTTAAAATTATGACATTTCCCAAAATTTGAAATTTTACTGGACTCACTTAGGATGCACCAATTTAATCAGGTGAAATCTTTATAAGAATTTATAACACTAAGCATTTATCTTTGTATCGAGTTAAACACTTCATTATTTTCTTTTGTGCAAAGCCACCCTGCTAAACCTGGAGCTAAGGGTAGCACTGCCTTTCTTTACAATTGTTTTCCCTGAAATAATTCTATCTAATACATACACATGTGGAGTACAAACTAAGAATATTCAAATTAAATCCATGAAAACATTAACAAGAATATAAGAATCATTTCCTTTTTATTCCCTGGTGGCTACGTCTTTGATTCAGGGAACACAAGAAGCTAAGATAGTACCTGATCAATAGTATTAAAGTTAAAAAAGTTGTGAAGTATTTTTGATAAACATTTATCTGCAAAAGAATTTACTAAGATTATATATTTAAGAGGATTATTCACTTTGTAAACTTAGGTATCAATTGTGTGTGGTCTCTGTTTACCAGAGGGTACATAATGCAACACCAACTGGTGTCAAGATTGAGTTACCCCCATAATATAGAAGACTTTTACTTAACCACAGCCCATTGTTCAGGAGATGTTCAGAAAGAATCACATAAATATTAAACACATCAGTCTTCTTCTCATACATGTTTGTTTCTCTTTCAATTGCTTAAAATTCGCAATACATTTCTCCATTAGTTCAATTTCATGCATTGTGAGATCAACTACTCTAGATCATTAAGGACTAGCTCAGGTGCGTGTGTGCACGGACTTTTCAAGCCACACCTTTCAACAGCCTATTTACCTCTGTTTACCCACAGCACAGTTCCATCGCAACTAGTATCATGTGAAAGAATTAGTCCACCAGCCCTCATGGACACTGGATGGTTTCTCTCTTCTTAAAAGGTTCTCCTAGAATTTCTGAAATGGAACTCTTTCCTATCTGAAACTTTGCTTTCCAAAATATAAAGTTCTAGTGAATCCATTAATCTGGATACTTGCTGCATAGACTAAGTAGTAGGAATAGAAAATGCTCTGGTCTGACAGATAATTGCTTCCTAATCCTTGAAGTTCTATCAGAAACCTCCAAATTTTAGATCACAGTTATTCTCCATGATAACCTTAAGGCTACAGTAAGATAAAGTTTATTTAGTGCTATTATTGTAATGCTATTTCAGATAGATAAGTAGAACAAACACAATTCTTAGAAAACATTTCTGGATGAAAGCCTTAACATGTTATCTTTACTTTGCATTTATGTTTGCAGATGTGAAAGTTTTCTAGACTCCATACTTAATACATTTCTGAAGTTTTCAAAAGGCACCAGTCTCAGTGTTGTAAGGAACTCATTAGAATTTGTTATTAAAATAAGATTTTCCTTCCACTCCAATGATTGCATCATCTATGATGATCTGTTTTTTTCGAGTGCTATTGATCCAAATAAAAGTTTCCCAAAGCAATTTTGGCTACTTTTACTATTGCTGTTCAGTGGAAGAAATGTTCTTTTACATTTTTGTAAAATACAAAATACATTATGCCCAAAGATATAAGTATTTAAATAACCAGACTTCATATAAATATGTAAAATATATATGTAAATTAATATCTAAAATTTGCTGACTTCACATAGGATCAAATCAACAAAATGGATCATGTGTTTATAACCCAAACCATATGTAAATTTTGTCAAAGTTTTTTTCTGATAAAAATGTTATAATCTGTCAGCCACTAGTTCTATAATTTCACTTTGATTGTGCTTGAAATCCAACCCGTCTCACAAATGGTCATGCTCATTTTCTCAGTTTCAATGTCATCAAAATGCAGCTGTTCTGCCCAAAAAGGGAAATGTGGAAGTTATAACCAGGAAAGCTTGCTCAAGTGACTACAAAGACACTGATTGCTTTTTTTCTCAGATAGCAGATTACTTTGCAGTGAGCTTTCCTGTACCACCTCCCCTCCCCAAATGTGTAAAGTGGGCATAAATCATGTTAATGTGTTAGCATCATAAATTAGATACACCCCACCCAACTTTTGGCTTGTCACATGCTCCTTGTCCATGATCTAAAGGGACTGGACATTTTTATCAATATTAGGAGTTCACACAAGATGCTAGTGGCTGAGGTCCTTTTTAGGGCCTTGAGCCACATGGATCTAGACAGTTATAAGGTGGTATCTGCAATATGGATGTAATCAATTTAATAAATTGTTATCTGGAGGTACAATAGAAACTATCTAACTGAATTGGGAGTGTGTTATTTATTTATTTATTTATTTTAAACAATAGCCAACCTTCTTGTCCCTAGGATTTTTAACACCTCCTCCCTCTAAACTTTACAGGTACTTCAAGTTCTTGGATCTACCAGTAGTCCCTTATGAAGATGTAGAATTTTTTTCAGGTCTGTTCTTACTAATTTCCTGAATTGTGAATGTCCTTCACAGAGTCCCTTTCCAGTTCCCTTCTTTGCTGAATTGGCTAACATATGTTGCACTTTCCACAAAATAATTTCCACAAGCACAAAATAATTGCTGCATTTGTGGCTCATGTTATAACATTGGTGTAATTAGCACTTAAAAAAGATACAAAATAAATTAGAACATTATTCCAAATGTGAAAAATTAGAAGGTAATTTTCACCTTTACTCTTTATTCATTGTTCCACACTAATTTAGTTACAAATTCTTGGATGTTAAAATGACCAAAACTATACCATGTAACCCTTTCAGTTGGCTCCCTTTTTTGGTAATGTATAGCGAGAAAACACCAGTTCCATGTTACCAAAACAACTTTAGAATTTTCTAATGAGAGTGAACAATGTTATTTTATATAATATCGCTTCTACATATGGTATATTTATATATCCTATACTTAAAATATTTCTGGGTAGTTGGAAAAATTTGATTAAAGACAGTCTAACAAAACAAGTCTGTGTCCCAAGTAAAACAAGTATACCTAAAGTTCCATAAAAAATTCATTGTGATGAGACTAATCAAATGTTGTTAACATTAACTGATGTTAAAATACATTTCTTGAAGAGGTTTATGTCTAATTAGTTATGAAAAAGCAATTTTAGCCTAGGTGTGTGTCTTATAGTTTTGGATGTTTCAGGGACTGTGTCTTTTCTAATGCAGAATGGGGCTCTCACTGCTAAGAGACTTGTAAAATATTTATGGTATGGAATAGTGGATAAATAGCTAGCATGCACAACTTGAATGCCAATTAATATCCTTGAAAATATTTTCAATGCTTTTAATAATTCAACATGGCTTATTTTACTAATGAAAATCTAGTTTAACCATTTCCATGGTAATGTGACTAAGTGGGTAAGGGAGTAAAAATAGCCTGAGGCTCACTAAAGCATTGGATGCCTTCACTATAGCTTTATTTCGACTCCACCTAATAAACATGCAAACTTCAGCATTAAGTATCCTTAACTAAAATCCATTCCATTTCATAACCAGATTGTTTGATCTATTTAGTGCTGGATCCAATTAGCATGCTTACAGAATTTGAAAAAGGAGATACATACCAAAATGTAAATCCCCAGGGAGAGCTAAGTGCAACAATCAGAAGGTGACTTGAGTCTGTCAAAGCCCTCTCTCACGGCTGATCTCAGGGCAGTTCGTTAGGAGTAATCCAGCACCATAAGAAATAGACTTGTAGTTCAGCTCAGTTTTTCTTCAATTAAAGTGCATTGTATCTGGATGGGAAAAGTCTCCACTCCCAGATTCTTCATCACTAGACACCGAAGGATTCTTGATGCTCTTTCTATCAGAGAAAATGGCCTTTAAAGTTTGCTAGGAAGATGCAGTGCAGAAGACAGGTGCTTGCTTCCTTAAATCGACATTTGGAGAAAAGAGGGCATAGCTAATGGGTGGGGATGAACACACAGCCCCTCTCCTTCCAGGTCCAGCAGAGAAGAAATTGAATGATTTTACCCACTTTGCTACACAGATGATTACAAGACCCGAAGCAATCACCAGGCTGGCTAAGGTACTTCATTTGATTATATTCTGTGAAGACAAAAATAAATGAAAACAAAAAATCAGAAGCATCCTCTCTAAATGTCTCCTCTCAGCCAAAAAGATGCTTTTTCTCATTGCCACTTACATGCAGAAGGCTTGGAGCAGCCTAGCTTGTGGCATCGTCCCTCCCCCGTGACAACCAGCACTCTCTCTCTCTCTCTCTCTCTCATTCTCTCTCTCTCCACTCACTCCCTCCCTCCCTGCCCTGGCTCCCTCCCTTTCTGCTTCTCTCTCTCCTCTCCAGCTGCCTTAGTCTGTTGATGCTGCTGCTGATTAATCAGGGATTCTGAAACAAAGAACCTACCTTCTGAAATAAGCAGTAATCTTTTTCCTCTGCTTCTGCAATCCGTCTGCATTGAACGGCAAAGCTGTCGGCCTTCTAGTACCTTGGATAGTTCCTGCTCCCTAGGCCCATTGGAAAAGGGAGAAGAAGCAACTGAAGAAATGGCAAGAAACCGGAAAGCAGCACCGTTCTACTTTGGATTTCGGCTCCCTGGGGGCTCCCATCCTCATTAACGGCCTGACTTCTAGGCAACAGAACCTCTCTCTTTTATCTGCCTGAGCTGAAGTCTGATTAGTAAATAATAAAAAGAGCGTAATGAAACCCCCTGCATTTATATCCACTATAGCACTCAGTCTTTATGGAGAAAATTTTAAATCCATCGAAAACAAATGCTAAGAGGATGTTTCCATGACAAGCTCTTCACCCCTGGTGGGGCTAATGAAAAGGAGCAGCAACTTAAACGGAACATCCAGATATCAGTTTGATACCCTCATTTGATATCAGTTTTGCCTCCACTCACCCTGCACAGCCGAGCCATGCACACAATTACTGCTGACGTACTTCAGGCTGCTGCTTGGGGAGAGAGGGGAGGAGCCTTTTAACCTCATCAAAACAGCTTCATGCCACCTGCTCCCATGGCATGAGAACAAAACTGGCCCACTTGGAAAGAACATGCACTGCATACACGTAAACGGAACAAAGGCCTCACTCAGAGAGGGCATTTTTTAAGCTAGAATAAGCTATAAAACAATTATGGTATGTGTCTTTAACTCCTGCTCTACACTCGCTGCTAAAATTATTTAAAGTCATTCTGTTTCCTATATTTTGTAAAGATTCTCCTCATACTGTCCTTAATATGCTATTGAAAAAATACATACATATCATGTTATATAGCACAACTTATATGTGTGTGTGTCCATATATGTATAGAAATACATGAGGGGTATTCAAAAATATCATGGGTAATGCATATTATAAAAAACTAACCATGAATTTGAAAAAAATTTTGTACCAAAATATATTTATTTTTAATTCCATTTGCTCAAATGTTTTTAAGTACCTTCACATATACATGTAAATACATATGTGTTAGAATGTGTGTGTGTATATATATATGTCTATCAGTTCATAAGTTTTTTCTAATTTCTCATCAGCATAAAAATATATTTTAATATGTTAAGCTTGATTGTGATAAAAACAACACTAGGAAATACATTTCTGCTTAATTTTAAAATAATGTTTTTGACAAGGGAAAATATGCTGCTTATTTGAGAGTGGCTTGTAGATTTTCCTATCACATTCTTTCCCAGTTAATCTTTTTGTAAGTGACCTTCACTTGCCACCTGACTTCCCCAAGGGTTATCCTAAACATCTAGATTCATAACTAATTTCTTGGAATAATGTGTTCTGAATATAAAATATTTTTCATAAATTAAAGACTATAAAAATAATAAACTTAAGTTTACCTTCCTAATTCTTGAATGCCAAGTAGAATTATGCTATTGTTTGGAAATTTTATTTCTTTAACTTGTAACTATCTATGCTAAATAAAATCAACATATTACAATTAACACAAGGCTTTCTGATTTCACATGTTCTAACTTGTACTCCTATTTCCTGGTCTTTGTACACCTGCTTTGTGGTTGGAACAGGTTCTTTGTTCGATGTTGGGAAGCACTCTGGAAAATTAGATAGATGAAAAGAAGGAAGGAAAATATGACTGGGCAAGAGGAAAGAATACATTTCTGTCTCTCCTCCCTACAGGATCTGTTTCTCCTTTCTTTCTGTCTTAGGAAAGTCTGACAGTCTTAATGCATTGCAGAAAAGTACCTCAAGCGCCACCTATAATCTAGTATCAGCCACCACACAGTGTCAACAGATTATTAATGTATTATTATTTTTGATAGTGACATGTCATCATAGAAATTGACTAAAAGTGAAAAAGATTCTTTATAGGGAAATGATATGACAGATACTTTTGTAAGTGGAAATCCTTTGTTATTACTGGTGATTTCATCATGTTTGGGGAGTTTGACAGTAGTGGAGGCTATATTTTGAACTACAGAGAACTAATATACCTAATATAACTCTAATAGAAAGTCCATTTCTACATCTGAGAAAACAAAACCCAGGTAAGTAAAATTACCTGCTTCCAGCCTCACACTCACTGTATCATTAGGGGTGGGACCCAAGGTCACTGTGTAGACAACAGGTCTTATCCTCTTTGGCCAAGAGTGCCTATTAATTATCTTGATTTCATGCACCAGAGTAATGCAAACAATGTGGGAAGAGACTGACATATAGTTGCCACATGTAAAAAATGGTACGATTTTTACCACAGAAGTTGAGCAAAACGATTTTTTATTCTAAAACAAAAGAGAGGTCATTTTATTATAATGGATGGTTCTTTAGAGTTAATAATTTTGTTAGGAAATACATGACAATACCCTCCATCAATCCCTTCTATTTCCCCTTCCCTTCCCTTCCTTCCTTTATTTTCTTTTAATATATTTTCTTCTCTCTCTTTTCACAGAATAGGGCTTAGAAATCATCAGAGTATAAGAACCTAATCTTCTCAATCCCACATTCTTCTCTTCTAGATCTCAGTGTCTATTTGTAGAATAATTTCTTCTCTGGAGATGTATTAGTATGAGGTTTATGACATCTTTGGGGATTCCTGCATAGAAAGTCTCCAGAAAAATTTCTCCAGGTCTAACTGTGTGAAATAGAAAAGGATCTACCCTCTTTCAAATAACTTTAGAACAAAAGGAGAACTAATTTACGCTCATTTCAATAGTATCCAGAAAAAAATTAACTGGGCAAAATTTAAGTTGAAAATCTTTATGTTATGAATAAGGATATAGAAAGATACAAAAATCTCAATTGTATTTATATGTTGACTTATTTCTTGAGTATCCTTATATGATACATAAATTATCTGGGTGTATTTTTTGTATAAAAAGCAATGCAAATGAGAAAAGTGAGAACTGAAATACAGCTATCTACTTACCTAAATTTTAAAGGATTTATTCAAATGCTCAAGATATACTCTCTGTTATAACAAAGCCCTCCTAGGTTTTTCCCTGATGTATAATCTATCTGTTATTTTTTCCACATTTAGCTTAGGGAAGTGACCCCTCTGTTACAATGGAATTATTTCACTAGGGAAAAAGCTAATCTCCTTCCCACCCAATCAGTATTTCTTTTTTTTTTATTTCTTTTTTTTTTAACTTTTATTTAATGAATATAAATTTCCAAAGTACAGCTTATGGATTACAATGGCTCCCCCCCCCCATAACATCCCTCCAACCTGCAACCCTCCCCTTATCCACTCCCTCTCCCCTTCCATTCACATCAAGATTCATTTTTGATTCTCTTTATATACAGAAGATCAGTTTAGCATACATTAAGTAAAGATTTCAACAGTTTGCTCCCACACAGAAACATAAAGTGAAAAATACTGTTTGAATACTAGTTATAGCATTAAATCTCAATGTATAGCACACTAAGGACAAAGATCCTACATGAGGAGTAAATGCACAGTGACTCCTGTTGTTGACTTAACAAATTGACACTCTTGTTTATGGCATCAGTAATCACCCTAGGCTCTTGTCATGAGCTGCTAAGGCTATGGAAGCCCCCTGAGTTCACTGACTCTGATCATATTTAGACAAGGCCATGCAGTATTTCTAAGCATTCTGGCAACAGCATGAAATGGAAGTCTTCATAGAATGAAAAACATATACTCATGGTTTTTGCCTATAAAAACATTGATATCAACAAAATTCACACATATGGTTTAGGGTCATGGAGCAGCAAATAACAATATGGGAGCTTCAAGATCCTTAATATCCAATAATTAAAAATAAAGAAAAACTTATGATCTAATAAAATATTACACACAAAACTGTATTAACAGTGTCAAGGGGACACATTGGAAATAAATGGAGCAGCAAGAAACTTATCAACAGACCCAGACATTCCTCCTTTGTTCTGTCTACCAGATATTTTCTAGTGAAAATTTTATAAATATCATAAATCTGTTTATCTTCATTTTCAAAAGTAATTAAAATATTGCTAATGGGGCTGATGTCGTGGAGTAGCAGGTTGAGCTTCCTCTTGTTACACCAGCATCTCATTTCAGAGTGCTGGTTCGAGTGTCCACTATTCTGCTTCCAACCTAGCTTCCTGATAGTGTGCCTGAAACCGTAGTGGAAGATGGTCAGGTGCTTGGGCCCCTATCTCCCATTTGAGGGGCTCATCTGGATTTTCTAGCTCTTAGCTTTGGCATGGCCCAGTCCTAGCATTGGCAGGCATTTGAGGCATGAACCAGTGGATGGAAGATCTCTATGTCTTCCTTTCTCTCTGTTGCTCTGCTTTCCAAATAAATAAATAGATAGATAAATAAATAAATATTTAAAAACAACTAAAATATTTGTAAAACAGGATATAGATGTTCTACTGAATCAGACATGCCCATTCCAACCATTTACTCTATTTGAATAAATAATTTCTACTTTAGTTTCTAAGAAAGCAATGGAAAAATAGAGTAATTCCTTCTCCTAGAATAGATGCAATCAATTTTATGAATAATTACTCCTCACTTAGTTACTCCTTACTAAATCCACTAGAGTGAATGTAATTCCAATTTAAATAAAATTGATGTTTGATCGAAATTGACAAGGTTTTGATAAATATTTCCTTTGCTAAATATTAAAACATCCTGTGATCCTACATTAATTTTATTGTGATACAGCACAAGACTTTACAGTGAATTAATAGAAGAGGTCAGAAAGCCCAGGAGAAGCATAAGAGGTTATTTAATGTGCTATTAATATGCCATTGCTTATCAATAAATAATAAAATTAAATGAACAGAAAAATGCATGCATATAGATACAAGCACTTTTTTACAGCCTCTTGCATAAAAATAAATCTAGACACTTTCAATTCCAAATCTGGTCCAAGAGACTTTATTTTCAGCACCATCTCAGGGTTTGCTAAATATGCAGAAGCTCCGGTCCTTCCCCAGATGGCCTGTCTGAATCATGTTAGGTGCTATAAAAAGATATCATTTACCTGGAAGTTTAAACAACAGAAACTCATTTCTCACAGTTCTGGAGGTTGGAGAGTAGTCAGATTCTGATAAGAGCTCTTCCTGGTTTCCTCACTGGGCAAAGGGCTGGTAGAGGACAGAAAAACATTCTTGTGCTGCTTCTCCTATCTGCACTAATCCTTCATGAGGGCTCTGTCCTCATGAGCTAATTACCCCCTAAAGGCTCCATCTCCAAACACTTCCTCATTGAAGATTGGGATTTCAACACATGAACGTTGGGGGACAGACTTGTCGTCCACAATATTGACTCACTAGGACTTGTGGTTTAGTACGTGGATAAATGATTGGGGTACATACCCTAGTGTGAGAAGCACTGTCAAAATATATTCCTATGATGAAAGAAATGCGGTATATCTACACCTTTAAGAACAATACCAACTAGCTGCACATGGCTATTGAACAGCTGAACTT